ATAGCCATCATGTTGCCTGTGCTTGCCCGTTGCATGCTAATGTCGCTGTCGGGTGGTAGCGGCGCTGTTCGTGGAGTGCGCGATCCCGAACCAGAGTCTCTATCGTACGAAGAGTACTTGTTGTTTCCTGTGGAGCGGGTGGAAGGAAGGCCAGCAGATCGGCGTCCATACCCTTGGTTGTGATATGAGCGGCTTTCGTTTTGTCTTAACAAGCTGTTGCGGAACTCTTGCAATTGCATGATGAGGTTCATGTTCGGTCCGATCCACTTGCTTCGCTTCTTCGCCTTGTCGTACGCTTCTTGCACACTCATCTGCGGGTCCTTGTACAGGCCGTAGGCAACGATCAAACTGGCAGAACGACTGACACCACATTGGCAATGGATGAGTACGCGCTTCCCACGCTGAACCCTCTCGTCTATCATCCTGACCAGCTTGTGAAGGTCGGGAACGATGTCTGTGTTGTGCTCCCAGGGCATGTGGATGTACTCTGGTGTCTTGTATGTCTTGCCCTCGATCACAACCTCGCGCGGCTGTATGGTTTGCATGACCGGCGTGGCTTTGGGTGTGGTTGGCGAGCCATCGTCCATACCGAATGATTGCTTTGGTCGCTGTCCAAGGGTAGCAAAATCAACATTCTCCGCTGGTGGGCCATCTATGCGCCTGGCATCAATGTCTTTTTGTGACTCCACCGTTGGCGTGGTGAATGGGTTCTTCACTTCGCTCGCGACATTGATAATGACATCGAAAGTCGTGGCCTGGATAGCAGTTGGCTCAAAGTAGAGGAACACGCCAGACTCATAGATACAGATGGGGCCGTTGGGATAGGCAGCCGGCTTCTCCTCTCGTGACTGGGGAACATCGAAGTTGGGTTCCTGGTCTTCCTCCTCCTCCATTTCAAAGGGGACTTCGCTAAGGCCACTTTGCTTAGGTGCGACAGGTCGTAGAGGAGGCAATTGCATACCACCCATTGGATTCGTACTCGGTGAACATAATGGTAGCGAAGGAGATGACTGGAAGTGGCGAAGCGGTGGGCGATTGAAGGACGGTGTTGAGGGTATGAGCAACCGTACTGGCTTACTCTCGTTGCTGCCAGGCGTTGAAATTGTTAAGCTCAAGTTGGACGGTCGACGCTTCGGGGGTGTCGGTGGTTTGATAAACAACGGAGATGGCGGTGCCGAGCTGTTCTTCTCTTTGGGAGCAACTGCTATGGGAGCTGGGGTGTGCGCGCGCAAGTTGCTGAGCGAAGACGCTGTGTTGATACCAAGGTTCTTGAGATTCCGAGGCTTCTTTGCAGGTGTCGTGGGACGCTGCAATTCGAAGAATGGGCCGGCAGACGGTTCCCCGACAGGTGCTTCTGCTCGTCTTGACCTGAAGTCGGCAACGAAAGACGAGGGCGTGATTGTCTTTGCGAGGGGCGATTCGGGAGACACGCCTGGAGAGGGGTCTGTCACCGAGGACGAGTCCATGGTTGATATGGTTGTGGTCGGAGAGTTGTCGGAAGAGCCCGTCGACGTACTGTCGCGACTTTCGCTGTGGATGTGGAAGGAGGAGAAGGGTGTGCCCGAGTTGGTGTTGGGGCTCGTGGCAGGACGTGCTACATTCCCGCCATTTTGGCCCTTGCTGTGGTGATCTCCTCCAAATACGGCGCCGAATGAGGGCATGGGCATGAATGAGCGCGCGCTCGTCTGAACCATGCTGGGACTTGTGGATGTTGCCAAACGTGGGCAGTGGTTGCGGGTGCTACTGGGCCAACGTGGAGCTCGCGTGGAGGTGGTGGGTGAAGGAAGGCAGTGGGTGAAGGACTGCTCGAGTTTCTTGGAAGGGAAAGAAGAATTAGGTGTGTAGAAAGCCCTTTTCAGAGTCAGAGTGTCAGCATCATGGGATATTGTGGGCGAGGCAGACATGGCAGGCGCATGTGTTTCGAAACGAGGGCGGCGGGACGGGGGAGTGGGGTATGGAGGCTGGAGACAGGTTGAGAAGCTGTTCCCAGACTCGAAGATTGGTGGTAGAGTGCACATGGTCGAGCAGGTAACGGTTGACAGGTGACAGGTGCCCGTACACTGCCTCGACTACAGTCATGCTCGCGCAGACAGACAACGGGGCACAGGAATGCGGAGTTGGGACACGAAAAGAAGATGCGGCTTACCTGGGTGCCAACAGCAGTGGGGAGGGGCGCTGGCGTGGTGAATTGGAGCGAGAATACCAGATCCTCTACTAAGCGCCTGGGGGAAGGAGCGACTGGGCCGGCGATGCGCCTATGCCTGAGGAGATGCGGCGTAGTGGGTAGAAAGGGCAGGAGCGGGCGACGCAGCGGGTGCGGGTGGTGCGGGCGGCGGTGGTGAGGAAGGCGCGGTCGAGGGTGGGTGCCGCGCTCACGATGAGGGTCTGTTGCGACGCACTCTGGACGATGGGGAGGGTCGAGGGCAGAGTGGTGACCAGCTTGGGCAGTGCGGACGAGGGAAGCCGGTCGATCGCAGAGCCGCTGCCGCCTGGATGTGGGAGGAGGGGGTCGTGGTAGGCGAGGCGAGCACGCTGTGTGTCGTGATTGAGGCGGCGTGAATGCGTCTTGTCGATGGATGGGGGAGACGAACTGCGAGCTGCGCTAGTGGCTCTGTGGAAGCGCCGACGTTCCAGGAATAGCAACCGCCGCCGGTGCGCTACGAGGCAGCTGCGACCACTAGGACACTAGCATGTCAGACCCATGAGCGTCTTGGGACCATACTACACAAACGCGCCAGTCCACTCAACCACCGCGCCTTACAGCCTGTCTACCGTACCGCGGCCGATCTTGGTTCGCAGCGTACGCGTAGCCGTCATTTCCCTCGCCTAGCAAACAAATACTCGCCATCGCCGCTCCACAGGAGACTGCTCTCGACGAACTGCCCTTCTGCCCTTGTTCCCCGGACCTGGCGAACCTGGCGAGCCTAGAGTAGGCCCCCTGGAGGCCGCATCCTGAAGACGGGAAGGCCCAGACGAGATACCTCGGAAAGAGGTTGGGGTCCGCGCCATATTGCAGACACCCCAGACAGTATGTAATCCGTCCCGTCTCCGGCCTCGACGCGCTCGAGATGAATTACTCGTCGTCCAGGTCGTCGTTGTTGTCAGCGCTCACCACCGCCGGGACACCCTGGCCTCGCTTCGCATGCCACAGCCATCGTTTCGACTCTCGCTGCGTGCAAGACTGCGACTGCGACTGACTTCATCGCGGCCTTCTGAGGCACAAAACAGTCGGAGCAAATATCTGCAACGTGAAACGCACCGTGGGAACTTATCGACCCACCTGTTGGCGGGGTGAGTTTTTGCGTCTCCGTCATGTGAGGATTACCACGCGTTTCATCTCTCTGCCGTCAGTTTCGCAATCCTAAACTCTCCCACAGCATTTGTGGACCTTTTTCCCGTATGACTGCCAGGCAGAGCCGCAGTCCTTGCAGCACCTGCCGAAACGTATTTCCACCTCTGCCGCCGCCTGTGCCCTGAATGTTGGTAATTTGTTCTTTCTGTTACGCAAAGCCCCGATTCGGCGAGCCCACACCAAATGCGTTTCAGCATCTTTTAACACCGGCAGAATCCGTCCTAAAAAGCAACGCGACACCGATTCGGGTACCCATGCGAAGATCCAACGACTCAGGACAGTCCGCCTCATCTTCCTGGGCACGTGCTCTTGAGATCGGGATAGGTCGACTGAGCGACTCATTGGTAGTTTCCATACTTATCAACTTGCAACGTGGAGATCAGAGCCCAACTCTTCGCTACCAACTAGACGGGTCTCCCGACTGAGTCGTCATTGGGAAGTGTTCTGGCCTCCCAACACAAGGCCCCAATAAGGCCCGAGTCTCTTTGCCGGCCCTGACGCTACACGCAGTGAGTCGTAGCAGCTGTGACAGAACAGTCTGGTTCTCCCGCTATTAGGGTGATTTGGACCAAGCAGCATTCTTTTCGAGATAAAAGATAAGGGGTGATGTATCACGGGCCTCAGTAAGGTTCAAATGTTTGCGATCGTGCTGGCGGTCCGAGAACCTAATCCTCTGCGACGACGTCGACCAGCAAGCAGGGACGTGCTCTGTACATTTCACGGTCGACCTGATCATAGGTTTGGTTGTGCGTGAAGTCTCAACATACTCAAATGAGGTTCATGCGCCCCTGTGGCCTATGTGCCGTGGTACCTGTATTGTAGCACGTCACCACGACACACTGCGCGCATGTCATAGCTTTTTCGGACTTGCGTCCGACTTCATAACATGGAACGCTATGCTCGCTCACAAGAACGGGCAACGTACCTTTGTGTCCAGCTGTAGTCACAACTTTGACATAGGCGCTTTGCACATCTCAGCTGGATTAGAACACTGCCAGAGACATATGTAACAGGTTGTGGGTGCTGCATGAGAATAGGATGTGACTGTGTCAGAAGCTACAAGTTGCTGTCCATTCTTGCCGAGTCACGCTGTTCCCCAAGCATACTTGAAAGTATGACGGAAGGATAATGCGCTCATCTGTAGATGTGATTAGACTGCACTCTCTGGTCAGAAACTTCGATGTATTAGTATTGCAAATTGACTCATCCCACAAGCTAAGAGTTCATTCAATGGAAGGCAAGTTATGTATTACTTGCAGCCTCTACATATGCAAAAGACGAGATCTTATGTCTGGCTTCTTCATAGTCAGTACCTGACATGGTCGTAGTAATGGTGAGCTCAGCATGGCTACGTTCGCCTTCATTCGCGAAGAAATTGGGGTAGAAACGTCCAAAGCCATCATCGCGTTCTCCATACAGTATAGCTCAATGTTCAGAAGATTTTGATAGCCTTCGCAAAACTCCAGGCAAAAGTGCATGTTCTGTTGTTCAGCGTGCAGATGCGCTCATCAATGACCACCACTAACGCCAAGCCAAAGCGGGCTAGCGCCGCCCACCATGCGAAATTCAAGCGAGCCCGAAGAACTCGAAAGTCGAGAGCCTCTTCTTTTTGCGACAACTAACCACCAGGTCAATCACAACAGCGATCATGTCGAGGCCAACCGTCACCGTCGTCTCCGCCAAGGGCGAGGTCACCAAGGACACCGTCCCCGTGCCCAATGTCTTCAAGGTCAGTTCCGCCGCAATTCGAACTTCGCGATACGATGCAAACCACAACCGGAGGGACTGAGGGCTGCAACGGCAGCTGGAGGAGTGTAGACATGGGAAGAACACTGAAAGAGCGGGTACATGAGTGTCAGCGGAGAATGCTCGCATTGAGCTGGAATACGCAGAGTTCTTCCCATGGTGCGGCCTCATGAGAGGGTAGCGAAAGCCGCACTTTTCTGGCTCGTCTGCTTCTCTCAGTCTCTTGGATATGGCTCTGCAACGCATTCGGACACGCTTCAGGTATTTTGGCCAATGCTAACAACTCTTCCAGGCACCCATCCGCCCTGACATCGTCCACGCGGTGCACACTGGCATGAACAAGAATCGCCGCCAGCCATACGCTGTGTAAGCCTACCTCGCGCGCTCCACAACCACACAGTCTAACAACAAGCAGCTCCGAGAAGGCTGGTCACCAGACTTCTGCCGAGTCCTGGGGTACCGGTCGCGCTGTGGCCCGTATTCCCCGTGTCTCTGGTGGAGGTACTCACCGTGCCGGTCAGGCTGCGTTCGGTAACATGTGCCGCTCCGGTCGCATGTTCGCTCCCACCAAAGTCTGGCGCAAGTGGCACCAGAAGATCAACCTGAACCAGAAGCGTTTCGCTACCGCGTCTGCGCTCGCTGCTTCAGGAAGCCCTGCTCTTCTCCTTGCCCGCGGTCACGCCATCAGCACCGTCCCTGAGGTTCCTCTCGTCATCTCATCGACTGCTTTCGCCGATGCCGCCATCAAGAAGACCTCCGCCGCTGTCGCTCTGCTGAAGGCTGTCGGTGCTGGTGCCGATGTCGAGAAGGCCCGCAACACACGCAAGGTCCGCGCTGGTAAGGGTAAGCTCCGTGGCCGCCGTCACACTCAGCGCCGCGGACCCCTCGTCATCTACAACCCCGAGGAGGATGGCAAGGAGCTCGTCCTTGCTTTCCGCAACATCCCAGGTGTCGAGACCTCATCCGTCTACTCCCTGAACCTCCTCCAGCTCGCCCCTGGTGGCCACCTCGGTCGCTTCATCGTCTGGACCTCATCCGCTTTCAGCGCTCTCGACAAGGTCTACGGATCCACTGCTGAGCCCTCAGCGCTCAAGAAGGACTACCTCCTGCCCTCCACCATGATGAGCCAGCCCGACCTCAGCAAGATCATCAACTCCAGCGACGTCCAGAAGGTCCTCCGCCCCGTCCGTGGCGGAGCCGTCTCCAAGCGTGGTGTCGTACAAAAGAAGAACCCGCTCAAGAACTTCCAGGTGCAGCTCCGCCTCAACCCATACGCTGCTACTTTCTCCAAGGAGAAGCTCGGCCAGAAGAAGCTCGAGCAGGGCAAGCCCGAGTATGCCACCGAGACCTTCCACGAGCTTATGCACGAGAACTAGATGGTTGTTGGTTAGCGTTATGATTTCCTAAGGTGTTCTCTCTTCGGCTGGGATGGACTGGAATGATGAATAGCTATGACAAATGTAGCTCTTCACAAAATGCCTCTTGAGAAGGTTTCACTTCCACTCCTATTTATGGCCATTGAATCAGGCGTTGCATTCATGAAGTTCGTCCACATGTTGCGGATAGATGTTCGTAGTAATGTGGTATTGCATGATCGTCAGCGTTGCACTGACTCTGAGATCTCTTCCAAGTGTACTCTCATACTAGCAATACATTTCCCAAACGCCGTCGCTATGCTTCAAAGTTGCCCTCTTCGCAAGAACAAGACCTCACTTGAACAGCCGCCTTCCACCCGTCCTGCCCATAGTCCTCTCCACACCCTCCAGACTCATGCCCGCGAATCCAGCACCCCCACCATCCCGATCCCTCTTGTACCTCCTCAACGCCTCTCTCAGGTGTGCTGGTGTAAGCGGTCCCTTATCACACGCCTTCAGCCTATCCTGCAAACTAGCATCCTTCTCTACCTCCTTCCACAGACTCTCCGTGCGATCAACCTGCGTAGGATACCAGCCCGCACTCGTAATATCGGAATTAGTCGGCCTATTCCTATCATCCTTGATATGAGCACTAGGTCTGACCAGACTCTGACTTAGGATGGGGCCTGGCAGGTTGGGGTTGGGGAGGTGAGTGCGGACGGCGGACCATTCGTCGCGGACGGTTAGGGCGCGGTCGATGAGCTCGCCGATGAAGGTTTTGGAGTAGGAGGTTACGGCGATGATGATGGGTTGGGGTACGGATTGGGAGAGGGTTTGGTTGACGAGTTTGCGGACGGTTTCCCGCTTAAGGCGGATGCGGCGGTAGGTTGCGTAGCGGTCCATTTGCGCGGGTGTCATGAAGTCTTCTAGCATGCTGTTGGATCACATTATATCAGTAAACCGGTCTCTGGAAGAAAATAGCAGCGAGTATAGAGAAAGGACGTACCGTTCGTATTCCTTTTCTTGCTTCCTGCGTGCTTCAACACTCATGCCGCCTTCGATTTCCATGCCCATTTCCTCGCCCATCTCGTCGTCGTCGTCATCTTCTGCTTCTTCTCCGCCGTCGCCATCTTCGTCTTCGCCTCCGATTGCGCTTCGTCCGTCGGCGCCCTTGCCGCCTCTTGCGCTTGAGCCCGCGACACTGCCTCCGTCTCCGCCCTTCTTCCGTCGCTTCTTCCCTCCTACGCCGTTAACGACGGATGTGGTGATGTTACTTTCCACGGACGGTGAACGCGAGAATTGGCGCGGGGAGCCACCGACTGATTCGGCATCTGGGGAGAAGGCGTTGCGTAGATTGGAGGGTTTGCGCTTTTTAGTGGGCGCGCCGGAGTGAGAGGATATGCTGCCGCGCTTGCGACTGCCGGGGACGTTGAGCTGGGGGATGTGTGGTGGTGAAGCCATGGTCGCGCGATCAACAAGAGTACCGGCCTCTTGTGCTGGCGTCGTAGTAATGGGGGGTGGTTGGGTGGGAAGGCTAACTTCTGCGGGTTGGATAATGGAATGGGCCCTGGGGAAGTCGCGATCTCCGCCAAGCAAAATGATGGAGTGTCGACTAGCGCGTTTTGTGCTCGGAAAGCGCGACCGGGTGATTTCGTCATCGACACTCGGGAGATGGATACTTGCGCCTGTTGCTCTCATTCAGCGTCTGCGCTCTCGACTTTCACCATGTAAAACGAGATAACAGCAGGCGATCTGCCATTAATACCAATTCACACGCATAACGTTTGCCATCTTCACTTTGCGTCCTATACCCGCACACAGCCCAGCGTGCCTCAAAGATGCCATCCTACGAAGAATCCTACGGCCAGCAAGCCGCCCAAGCAGCAGGCACAGGCGCAACCGACACCGATGGCGCCGTGCAAGCACCACCCGACGCAAGATCTACCTCTGACCTCCCACCTGCCGCCCTCGACCTAGCAGCGCGCCTCTTCGACCTCGCCCGTAGCGGGGACACATCGACCCTCTCGCAATACGTCAGCGCCGGCATCCCCAAGAACCTCACCAACTCATCCGGCGACACACTTCTCATGCTGGCGTCCTACCATGGCAAGGCTGAGACTGCGAAGATGCTGCTGGATAACGGCGCGGATGCGAATGTGCTGAATGGGAGGGGCCAGAGTCCTATTGCGGGGGCAGTGTTCAAAGGGTACGATGATGTTGTCAGAGTGTTGTATGAAGGGGGAGCAGACGTAGAAAAGGGACAGCCAAATGCTGTGGATTGCGCGAGGATGTTCAAGAGAGGGAATTGCTTGAAGCTGTTTGGTGTCGAAGAAGGAGAAGGGACTGTGGTGGATGTGGATGCACATGCTGTGTCATAGTGGAGACCCCGCAGTGTTGACGATCTGAAGTAGGCTTGCTCACTCGTTCAGGACTGGCACAACGATAGCTTGAGGGTATAAATATATTACTCCAGAAGTCGAATACTAAACTCACGCTATCGAACCCAACGCAAAGTCTGGCAGTCTGATCCACCCGAAATAACCTTCCTACAAATCATGGTATCATATCATCGTACTCCGCCTCCAACACCCTACTTCTTCTCCTCCTTTCCCTTGCCACCACCGAACATGCCTCCAACGTATCCACCAGCACTCTTCGCGCCGCCAGCAACACTGCTTGCACCTCCTTTCACTCCATCCGCAGCGCTCTGTCCATAACCACCGAGTGGTCCTTGACTCTCAATAGAGTTTCCCTTGTCGTCCTTGCCGCCGCGCTCAGCACGGTTGATACCCTCTTTGGAGACGGCATCACCGAGGGGTTGTGCGAGTCCACCCTTGCCGACTTGGCCGCCGACGAGGTTGTTTACGCCGTCTTGGAGGTTGTCGACTTGGTCGATGCCTGTGACCTTGGTCTGGTCGAGTTGTTCTGTGGGTAAGAGATGTTAGCGATGTTTAGCTAGGGATGAGTTAAGATGTAAAAGACGTACGTTTGGTAGCGTAGGAAGCCTTGTTATCCTTGGTGAACCACTTCAGGTACTGGTCCTCGATCCATGGCATCCATGTCTCGTACTTTTGGTTGTAGTACTCTCCCGCGGACTCCCTGTAGGTCTTTTGCGATCCCTTGTTCTGGTCTGTCATCTTGGGCAGTATGAATACTGTTTATTAATCGTATTGGAGTGTAGAGATAGTGAGGTGGATTATTCGTAAGGTCGTGTGTATTTGCATGTGAAGACGCAACACACAGATCAGGCAGTCAGCCATATATACTCCACCCGCATGCTCGCGCCTTCCCGTGTGTACGCCATCTGCGCCAGCGGTGATCTCATCCTCGATCACTTGCACCGTGCTTGTTACAAGTTTGTGGCCCGCTGTGGTGGCATCGAGACAGGGGTTGGTGCGTGGATGGGTTGCGCTATACGTCATCTGAACCAGAAACCCAGACCAACTGATCGTCCCGCGTGGAAACCTGCATCTCGGACAGCATCTCTTGGCTGGACGGCCGCCATTCAAGTTATCTACGCGGGGCCAAGGGCGCCTGGACTCTAGGGCTGGGTGTCTGTTGGGCTCGGCTTGATTGGTTCGTGGGGTCGCAGATTGTGTAGGCGGGCTTTGGTGGGTGCGATGACTGGACGCTAGCAGCTGGCTTCGCAGATGAACGTCTTCAACCACCTACATGCGAGGACAGCGGCGTCGTGGGTATTGAGTATGGCGTAGAGATGCTGATGGATATCTAACGAGAGACATGTACAAGCTTGTCAACATTGCAGCGTCCAACGCGGTGGTGCTTAGGTAGGAATGCGTCACGACAGTCACGACACAAATACGATATCCTGAGCAGCTACAGCCACGAATGTTCGTACGGCATATCGCGACACACCGTCATCTCATCACGCCTCTTTGGTTCCATCTGTATACTCGCATTCCTACTTTCCTGGCGATGTGGAAGGCAGTCAAAAGGCCTGTACCCTGAAGAAATTCAATGGGCTCTATCATGCACATCTGCATTCTGAACTACGTTGAGTATCTCTACGATCTGGTTCACTAAGCACGGTAATTATACAAAAGAATTGATACATATACCACCGCCGGATTAGGCTGGACTTACAGTCGCACTTTCCTCACTCACTGCCGATTACACAACGCTCCTTCACTTGTTAGGTCTTGGCATTTTTCTTTCTCACCGTCCTCCATCGCACATTGAATTACTCACAACACCATCGTTCATTCACAGTCTTTCCGCCACCGGCGGCGTTCGAACGTTCCATGCGATAAATAGACTTACTATCGCTCAAATGTCTGACACCGACCCCGCCGATTCTGCGCTTCTCGTCGAATCGCAAGCCATCGAACAACTCAACCGCGCAAGGCGCCAGCTTCGTCGATCCAGAAACTCGGTTCGTGTGTCGAGATCTACACTCCAGCTACTCGACCAGATTGTGCCCACCCTCACAGTTGACGAGCTTCGAGAACTTTCGCAGATTCATCGGAACATGGCGCGTAACTTGCGTACACGAGGTGGAGCTACCGGAACTACAGGCGAAGGCGAGAATATTGTTGTTCCAGTGTCTGTACCTCAAGCCCAATCCGCTCTCAAGCCTGCCACGACGCTTGTGTCCATGCTGCCAAAGACCCCCTACAATGAGGTGAAGGAGGCAGAAGGGACCGTGAACACACCCGCTTATACCAAAGTACAACTTGCGCTCTTGGAGTACCTTAACAAGTAAGTGGTACACAAGTAAGGACTGATGTGAGAGATGTACTGACACTCTTTAGGCACGCATCCGAGAAGCTCACGGTCCGGCAAGCTCATAACTGGACAGAACGTATTGCAGACAACATGCATCCCGCTGCCAAGGATGCGCTGCGCCTCTGCTACTACATGCGCTCGCAGGGCTTCGACACGTACGCCGATGTTCGGGATGGCTCCATCGAACTGTATCTCTCCAAACAGGTAAATTCAGGTGTCTAAAATGTATCCGAGGCGTATATTTATTTCGTTCGCAGGCACCAGAGAAGGGTCGCAGCAAGGCCTCGTTGTATTGGAAGCAGAATTACTCGACGAACGCCATCGAGCACACGGTATCTGAAGCATATGTACCACCCCGTCCGGCGCGATACGACGATTTCATGCCCTCGATGGTCTCCGGGGCTCAACTTTTGAGTGATCTCTTGGCCGCGCCAGATCCACACATCCCTCAACATGCAGGTGGCCCTGGAGAGGATGCAGAAGATCAGGACGCTCCGGTACCGGAGGGCGACCAAGCACAAGAAGACGTTGAACCGACCGAGCATAACGTCGCTACTATGCTCGCTGTCGCTCAAGCGGACTTGGAGGCTCAATTCTTGTCTGATACCCCCGATTCAGAGTAAGCATTCACTCCTTTTCAATCATTTACCCCTGCTAACGATTCTTTTAGCGCCGTTGAAGCTCTGCTTGCCCGGATTGAGTCGCTCAATAGCCAGGAATAAGAGGACTGGGTGGTGCCCGAAGATGTGAGACGGAGCACTTTGAGGACTACATGGGTTTTGGAGAGGCACTTTTGTGACATTTTCGTGCCGTGTAGGCTCCAGGATGTACTGTGGCGTAGTCGCTAGGTTATAATACAACTTCATCTGGCACTAGATTCTTGGCAATGGTCATGCTCGCGAGTATTTAACTCTGCCAGCTTTCTGCTCCCTTGCTCCTTCAACCTCATACCATTTTTCAAAATACCAAAAGCCAAGGATCTCACGGCGGTGGCTGCTGAGATCCAAAAACAAGCATATCCACGACCCATGTGTCGGAAAGAACAACTCAAAACTCTGCAAGACAAACAAATGACCCGAATGCGTTCGAGCTGCTCTCCAAATAATCCGCACGCAAAAGCTATGGCTGGAAGCACGTCTCGGGTACTTCAGTGATCATCCGCGGTTTTGTTCTGTGTTCCAAAGAAAATGTTATCCAAGATGATGTGTTGCTCTTCCATCTCTATCGTCTTCACGATCCCTGTCTTCTCACTCAGTATATAAAGTACTTCCACGGCCCTTTTCGAGCTGCCATTCTGTAACTAAAACTACGTGTAATACCCCAGAACTTCAAAGAGTACGTATGATGATCTTTTTCGAGAGTCTAAAAAACTACTACGTCTCACGCATGTCTTGCCCGCCATCAGCGCCCACGAAAAATCACAGAAACAGCATTACATGTCTGTCCAACCACAATAACTTCAGTCTCACTGGCATCAACGCTCGGCCTCCGCTACTACGAGTCTTGTCCAACGTCTAGACGAGGACCACTAACGTTCTGCCATCATATAAAGCGCTGTTCCTTGCTTCCTTCCGTCTTCCACAAACACACATGAGAAGTGTGCTTTTCCAAAAAGTCAAGGCCTGGATCATATGGCTGTCGAAGTCGACCTACCAAAACGTTCATCAATGCCCTACCTGTTTTGTTCGGAGACATAATGGTGTCAAAGTTTCTTTGAGGCGCAAAAGAAACAAAACACTCACTGCATGTGTTCCGCTTGACGGCAAAACTGTCATCGCCTTGTTCCGAAAGAAGAGGAACTGCTGTACTTCTGAAAGGCATACCAGAATGGTCCATGTTTCCCGTCTTAGCTGTCTGACGAGTGAATATGAGAGCCGCGTACTCTCACTGTCCTTCTTTCTTTTCCTTGCATAATGGTTTCGCAACCTTAGTCGAGCGACGCAACACCAAAACTTGTCCACGATTACGGAATGGCGGAATCCGCTTCCAAAATCCAGAAGACAACAACTCGATGTTCCTCGGTCTCTGTGTGCGGAAAGAGAAGATTGACTGAGCGATCTAAGTCTCGTCACCAAATGTTCTATCGATGTTTAAATGATGTCTCAAAAGTAATTAGAGTGTTCGTTATGTGCAAGGGCATGCGAGCATCAAAGGCTAACGTTGCGGCTATGCGATGTCACGCAAGAACATGATGGCTGGTGCCTAGGTAGACATCAGAGCAGAGACAGCCTGGACTCGTCAAGTGATACGATGCTTAGCAAAATCGACTCCCAATCCCGCGCAGTTGTAACGCAGTCTGTGCCGCATTGCGAGCAGGGATTAAGGCGCTGCATACCCCGCAGCCAGCACCAAGTCACAACAACGACAACAGCGACGACTACGATAAGCAGGCCACACTTGGTGAGTAGGTAAACACCCGATGGAAATTGGTTGTTAAACAGCGTACTGATTCCTTGACTTCGCGTAGACCTAAACGCCGCAGTAGGACCGGCTCTTTGATTGCCGAACATGGCTTCTCAGGAGCTTGATCAGCCCGATACTACATCCATCTCAGAATTAGATGATTCCAGCATCTACACACCTACCGAAACCACCGAAAATGTTACCTCAGACCCTGTGAAAGATCACGCCTCGACGAGTTGGGAACCTTCCGATGGATCTACCGTCATCATACGCTCTACCTCATGCGGCAATGTGCTTACATTGCTCGATGGGAACATCGTACTAGCGCCGCCTAGCGGTCGTGGATCCATCCTGTGGGAGTGTGTAGAAAGTTCGGGCTGGTTCGGATTCCGAAGCTGCGTCTCAGGCAAGTTCATATGTCATGGTCGGGATGCGAGGCTGAAGTGCACGGCGGAGCAGCATCATAGTCTGAGATACTTTACTATTACTCCAGTACCAAAAGGGGGCTACATTATGCAAATGCCGGACTGGTGGACTCTTCGTCCTGTTGTGATCAATGTCGAGAACGGGCTGCAAAAGCTGGGGAGGACTGGAAACAAGCTGTCTGACGGAATTGTATGGAACTTTTTGGAGAGTGGGGCCGGCAACGCTGAATTTCAAGACTCATAAGTAGGTCAGTCTCTCATCATAATCAAAGCAAAGCCTTTTCGGCCGCTCCCTGACACTGTACCACAACGTGTGATGTCACAGAACTAGAATTATGATGTGTCACTTGGAAGGCGCGCGTTCCTGACACTTCCTCGACGATGCGATCCAGGCGTTGCGCTAAAGCTTCACGCGTCGTTCATGAATGGTAATAGTGGATGGGCACGGACGTGTCGCGGACCGCTATCTGCAGTCTGCAGCCACAGGCGCGGTACCAAATAGAGGGTAGCACGAAGCGTTGACCGGGTTTGTTGGACTCCACCTCGAAATTACATGTCCAACGCGCAAGCGGTGCGGGGAAAACGTCGCATTCCCATGGGAGTGCGCTGAGGCCCGAAGACAGGAAAATCAATAGGAAAAAGAAGACGTGTAGACGAACGACATCCCCAGAAGACATGTCGATGCAGGCATGCGCTAGCTGCAGCGCCTTATGTAGATCAATCCAAGCGAGAGGTTGGGTCCGGTACATCCGCCCTGCCACGGCTACTGGATATATACAGAATGCGCGTTTGTTACCCGTCGAATAGGGCAGAGGGTGTCGCGGAAAGGGCTGCACTGTTTGCGGCTGCTGCGATGATCGAGAAGTGGTCAAGGGCTTACCGGTAGGCAGCCTTGTAAGCCACCAGGGCACCGGAGCGCTTTGGCTGGCTGTCAGAAATGAAGATGGTAGCCTAGCCTAGTGACAACGACGCGTTGATAACGATGAGGCTGGGGGTTGTGCGACTGTAGTGAGTGGGTGAGTAGTAAGTGCAAGTGCTGTCGCGAGAATGTCGCGACACCAAAGGCGATCATCGTATGTGATTACGAGTAGGTGGGGTGGAGATGTTGGAAGTTGGTCTTTGAGCAGGCGCGTTGATGAGCGGTGATGGATCCGGCTAGCGTGCAGAGGCCACATCTCTGTCAAAGGAAGTCGCGACCGGTTCATCGCACCGCGCACGACCAGGATCAAAAATGCATCGGACACGGTGAATCGCCTTCGCAGTAAGAGAAGGCAGTCTGTTTGCACCTGCGTTACTCTGGCCGGCGCCGTTGATGTTGCAAAAATTTCCCTCTGCTCCCTGAAACGGGACGCACGGGCCAGGCCACTAGCCCGTTCCTGGTGGTGATCCAGCCTACTTAATGACCTGTTCATTCTCTTAGATAGGCCCGCAGCCCACCTTCTCCGACGCGCTCCCGGCACCGCATCGAGTTACCACCCCATCACGTGACTCTCTTCCACAACTCTGACTACACAGCCCAAACACTTCTGTGCCGTGCCCAGTGCTTCCATGGCTACGCCTGCGGGCGCCTAGTAATTTCTAATTCTCCTGGTTGCGCTCCACCTGCGAGCCCGACTGTCAAAAGTGCAGCGCGAAGATGAGGTTTGTCGCATATCGCATCGATGCATGCATGACGCGCTAACGCTTTGGTAGTGCCACCAGATTGGATCGTCTCGTAACGTGAGTATACCCGGCGCATGTCCTGCATGTCTTTCACTGCTTGATCAAACTACGTTGCCATCTTCTGCGACAAGTTAATCACGCTTGAACAGCCTTGCTTCTTTTGTCTCTGTTGACTCTCGCTAACCCCCGCCAAGGCTCCTCGAGACTGGCAGCACAGCATTAATCCGAAACACAGCAGCCGACCAGCTAGCCGACGTCCAAAAACAACATCCCGATGAGCTTTTCAATCTTCTTACCCGAGTCATACCCTATTTGCGATCAAAAAGCTGGGAAACTAGAGTTGCCGCTGCCAAGGCGATAGGTGGCATCGCTGCCAATGCCGACAAGTTCGACCCCAACGCCGATGACCAGGATGAGTCCGTCAAGCCGGAAGCCCAAACAGAGTCCAATGGCGATGTCAAATCGGAAGACAGCAATGGCGCACTGGTCAAGAAAGAAGAGAACGGCGATAGCACCCTCCCACCACTCGCCGATGGACTCGATCTTGCTACACTGGACCTGCCTTCTATCCTCAAATTCGGCAAGGTCCTAGCCTCTCTCGGCACCAAGGAGCATGACTATAAACTCGCAGCCATGGACCCTGCAGAACGACTGGAGTACCAAAAGAGCACCCTACTCAAGCGACTTGGCTTTGAAGGCGCATGGGTTGAGGACCTTACACCACCCCAGGAGATGATGCCACAAACGCCCGCTCCAAAGACTCCCGGCATGCACCGTATCGACACCAACGTCTCACGGTCAGAGAGCATGCACCATGGTAGTTCACCTACTGCAGGCACCCCTGATGGCAAAGGACTCAGCAAACGTCAGCAGAATGCCTTGAGGCGCAAGAACAAGAGACAGGCCGCTGGAGGTGCTAGCAAAGTCCAAGTCGTCGACTTCAATTCAACTGCAAGAAAAGACTCACAAGCCGATCTCATCGAGACCCCCGTTCGCCCACATCCTACTGCCCTAAAGTTTGAGAAGTCAGAGAACGGAGACGAGGACGAACCCATGAACGACTACTTCTCACTTGACCGCAACGGCGGAGACGACGATGCAAAGTTTGTGAAGGAGTTCAAGGGCGCGCCTGT